AACAGAAAACCCAACTCAGCTGGCTTCAATTTATTATCTCAATTGAGAGTATTCTGAATGATACAACATTTAAGTCAAGTTTTGAGGCATATCTGCCTTTATCTCTTCCAAAAATCATTCCTTTTTTTCCAGTTAGTTGATCCTTTGTGCTATCATTGGACTTCCCTTGATAAAATTCAAATCTGATCATGTTATTAGTTTGATTAAATCCTTCAAAGATCACTATTTGATTTCTTGGCCTGAGATACAAGACCTTTCTTTACTGGGTCCATTAGGTCAGGCCCCACAAGCATCCTAATGCTAGACATGGCAACTTTTGTCATTTCTTGACCATGCTATGGTCTCTCTTCCCTATACTTTACAAATGGTATTCCCACTGCCTAGAATGCCCTTCCCTATCTGATGAGTCACTCTGAACTAAGCTTTCAAGATGACTAACCTCTTCTGGTGAGCACTTCAATCCCCCAAGGTTTTAAAATGATCCTTTTCAGTGTCTCCACCACCCTGATCTCACCTCTTATGAAAACATATTACACTGTAATTGTCAAGAGTACTTGTGTCCTACATTGACCAAAAGGTTTTAGAAGGAAAGATGTGCCTTATTCATCTCAGCATTTTTAATGCCAGGCACATTTAACCTAGCAAAACCAAATCTACTGCCATCGAGTCAACTCAGACTCATAGCGACCCTACAGGACAGAGTAGAACTGCCACATAGGGTTTCCAAAGCTGTAATCCTTATGGAAGTAGACTGCCACATCTTTCTCTTGCAGAGTGGTCAGTGGGTTTGAACCACTGACCTTTGTTTTATTTATTTATTTTTAAACTTTTTATTGTGATTTGGGTGAAAGTTTACAGAATAAATTGGTTTTCCATTCAACAATTCATACAAATTTTGTTTTGTGACATTGATTTTAATTCCCACAGTGTAATAGAACTCTTCTCACTTCTATCTCTTGTTTACCATTTCCATTCATCCTTCTCTTCCTATCCCTTTTTGCCTTCTGAACTTTACCCCTGGGTAAACGTGTCCTTTAGATCTGTATGGTTGATTGTTCTAAGAGGTGTGGTCTTCCTTGGTGTTATTGTTTACCTTATGGGCCTAGGAATTGTTTCACTGAAAGTCAAGCCATGGTGTGAGTGCAGTTCCAGGTTTGAAGGGTGCCTAAGGGCCACAGTCTTGAGATGCCACCAGTCTCTATCTGACCAGAAGCCTGTTTTTTGTTTTGTTTTGTTTTTTGTAAATGATTTTGAGTTTTGTTCCACATATTTCTTCTACTCTATCCTGGACTTTCTATGTGGTTTCTTTCAGAATAGTTAGCCATGGAGGCTGAAGTTCAGATGGTCTATTAGTCCTTCGGACTAATTGTTTTTTCTATGCATATTTTACTTTCATCACTCTACTTTGCTTCAGATGGGGAGAGATCAATAGTTACGCCTTACCTTACTGGTCCAATAGAGACCGGTCAACCCCTAGAGACTATGGCCCCAAGGTACCCTTTGGGCTTGGAATTGATCTCACTCCCACGGCTTTCCTCTCAGGCAAAAAAAAAGACGCCTCCAAGCTGAATACCTGCACCAGGTAGATGCACTTCTTAGAACAATCAACCATGGAAGGAAGATCAGGAGGGCAGCATTTGCACAAGGAGAAATGTAGGGAGACAGGAATGCATAGACAAGAAGGCCGCAGGGAAAGGGTAACCACAGGGAGGAAGGGGGAGGTGAAATGCTACACTGTGGGAAATGTGACCAGTATCACAAAACAAAATGTGTAAAAAAAAAGAAATGTTTACTGTTACATGAACAGTATAACAGAATTATACTGAGAATTTTAAATTTACACTTATGAATACAAGCATTCCTAATCATATGGAATCAAAATTTTGTAAGAAAATGTCATAAAAAGAACCAATATTCATTACTGTCTTTGGTAGCTCTGGTGGCGTAGTAACTAAGGCATTTGATTGCTAACCAGAAGGCTGGCAGTTCAAACCCACCAGTCACTCCTCGGAAGGAAGGAAGGCTGGGCATTCTACTTCCATACTGATACCGCCTCAGAAACCCAAGGAGGGGTCACTATGAGTCGGATCTGACTTGATGGCAGTGAGTTTGGTTCTTTTTTTTCCATGAAAAACTAATCAGAGTGAGTCTATACATATTTATAAAGTGAATATATTGTTGCACACATGATAAGACACCAGTGTATCTGAAAACTTTACTCATGCAAGGGTATACATGGCATTTGACATCAATATATGTAGAATATTGGAGAACACAATCAATAATATATGAGCTGAAAATATATCCTTCCTGTCTTGCCAACTATTCTAGGACACTTTACTGTATTCCTGAGCATTCAATAAATCACTTTTTTGATTTTGGAAAAAAAAATTGCACCTTAATGGCACCTTGCAAGCTTTTAAGACCCCAGTTGCTACTCACCAATGTAGGTTGCAGAACATAGTCTTTGTGGATTTTGTTATGCCAACTGATTTTGATGTTCCCTGAGGTGATGATACTGAGCCCCCGAGCCCAGTGACTCATTCCCTCAAGGTGTTTGATTATAGCTAAGAAGTTTTCATAACTTTGTCCTCTGTATGCTGTACTATATTCATGGATATATTTGCAGCACATATAAATATATGTAGAAATATCATCTGTCAAACCTATATATATTCGTGAGTGTAGTCCCATTTACCTTCCCACCCTTGTTCAGCTTGAATGTCTATGTATCTACTCTTAGAGTATTGTTATGGCAGGATTGTGTGTGCAATAGTATTCACCTTTCTTGCTTTTAAATAATCTATGTTCCTCCCTATGTCTACTGCCTTGATCATTTTGTTCTGACCTCCCTCTTATTGTGTATTGCCTTTCTCTTCACCCAAATTAATATGTATCTACCCTCTAGTTAGTGATTTACTTTCCCATCCCTTCCTGGGCAACGCTGGCAACCTTCAAAGAATGTTTCTTTATGCGTGTAAACACTTTTTTGATTATTTATAGTGGTGGTCTCATATAGTATCTGTCCGTCTGTGGTTGATTAATTTCACTCAGCATAATGTTCTCCAGGTTCATCCATGTTATGAGGTGTTTCACAGATTCATCATTATTCTTTAATGTTGCATAGTATTCCATTGTGTGTATGTACCATAGTTTATTTAGGAGCTCTGGCAGCTTAGGGCCTAAGGCACTTGACTGCTAACCAGAAGGCTGGCAGTTCAAACCCACCAGCCACTCCTGGGAAAGAAGATGGGGCAATCTACTTCCATAGTGATACTGCCTCGGAAACCCAATGAGAAGTCACTATGAGTTGGGTCCAATTCGACGGCACATAACAACAACAACAACCATAGTTTATTTATCCCTTCATCTATTGATGGGCACTTAAGAATTGACAAGTTTTCAGTTAACAGCCCAGCACTGTGCTACCAGGGCTACTTCCTAGCACATTACTTGGCACAAAATGAGCAATTAACAAATGCTCATTAATGTATAAAAATAAGGGTAGCAAGGAGAAGGAAAACCTGCAACTCCTTAACATCTATTGTGAAAGTGTTGGAGGGCGATAAGGCAAATTTAATGAAGATTTCCTTTTGTATTCCCCTTATCTATTCTATATGAGCCAGAATTGACTAGGTGGCAATGTGTTTGGTTTCTTATTTACATCTCACCCATATGATGAACTATTCAACAAATAAATACTCAGTGCCTCCTGTGTGCCAGCATTGTTCTATGAGTTTGAGATGTATCAGTGAACAAAAGGGTACTTGTCCTTGGAAAGCATTAGCTCTACAAGTAAATTTTAACCAGTCATTTCCCTTTTCTGCATCTTACACCTGCATTTGTGCATGAATGGGAAACACTAATAGAAAGCTTGCAGATTCTCATATGAAAGTCACTAGTAAACACATGGGTTTATTGTTCATAAGTGCTACCACTTCTATCTAGAAGCAAGGACAGTTAAGAAGAGGATGTCACTGATTAAATCTGTTTCTTGAGCATTACACACCAATAGGCATCACTTTCCTTTTTTGTAAGAGATTTTTTACTTAGGTGCAGCATTATGAGGTTGCAGCTTCCTTCCTCACTGCAAACCTCCATGGGGTTCCATCTAGGGTGGTGAGTCCTGTTCACAACCAACATCTTTGTGTTTCTCTTCTCTTCTCTAATTTGCTGGTGACTTGGCATGGAGAGACTCTCTATGGACACAGCAGCACGGAAGTAGAGATTGGTCTGGGCACAGGGACAAGTTCCTACAGAAACTGGGCATATTTGAAAGAGACCAAGGGAAGCTTCTTTGTCTAGTTCTGACAATCCCAGCTTTGACTGAGGTGGGAGCTAGACTGGAAATAATGCCAAACTATTTTTCTTCTGAGAAAACATATTGCCATGTGAAAAAGTACTAATTGCTCTGTGGAATTTTTTTTTTTTTTTTAATTTTGCAAATATTCTGTGCTCTGAAGTGACAGCATGATTACATTTCTTACAGTATCAGTGGTACAATTTCCAGTCTCCCCAGGGAAGGAATGTGGAGATTTTCCTCCTAGAAAGAAGGGCAAACTCACTGCCTCCAAAGGTACACTTGATTTAAACACGATTCAAATTAAGAAACATGATAGATAACACAGCAAACACAGACACTTGGCGATTTAGTTGATCCACAGCATTATGGAAGAGAGAAACAGAACTGTAAAAATAAGAAATCTAACTTTGACTCAGATTTTACTAGTTCTCAAATGGCTCATTCTCTCTCCATCACAAGTGGTGCAAGGTTTGAGGGCCTGGAAGGGAGAAAAGAAACTGGAAGAATTATGGAAAATGTAAAACATCAGGAGATAGTTACAATGAAGAATGGAGGAGGAGGGACAGCTTAAGTGTAACTCTCTCAGAGACATTCCTGCCACTTGTGGTGCGTCTTTGATCTAAATCTATCCCACCTGCGTTCGTCTTCGGTGGAGGCCGCACAGGGCAATAGACGACTTGTCTCTGTTATCCAGCACCTAGAAGACGCTTTCACAGGAACAAGGCAGCGGCCGGGGGCGCGGCGGAGGAGGGCGCAAGCAGCCCCCTTCCAGCTGCTCCCGCCGAGCATGATGATAGTGGGGGTGAGGCCAGCGGTGGCGGTGGAGCGCCTGGTGGCCACGGGTTTCCTCATCTTCCTGAGAAACTCTCTCCCGGGCGCAGCAGATACTGCCTAGGCGCTTCCGCCAGACTCGGCCATTGCCCGCCTGGAAAAAGAGGTAGACGAAGGGGTCGAGAGCATTGCTGGCCAGGTCAACGACATGCAACGCCGCCTCCAAGTCCTCGCCTTCTGCATCTTCTGCGGGCCGCGAGGACCACGCGTCTGTTAGCCGGGCGGCAAAATAGGGCAGCTTGCAGCCCATGAACAGTAGCGCCAGCACCAGGCTCATCTTCAGGCTCTGCAGCTTGGCGCGAGGCAGAGGGTTGATAGCGGGGGCTCGGCAGGGACTCGCCGGCCAGGGCACTGCGGCCGCCGGGGCGTGGGGCCGGCGCTGCCACCAGGCGCAGAGCAGGCGGCTGCAGGCGACGCCCATGACCATGACGGGCGCCACGAAGCCCACCACGGCTTCGTAGAAGGAGTAGACCTGAAGGTGCCAGCGCGGCAGAGGCGCGAAGATGCTGCGGCAACGACGCTCCCCAAGCCAGGCACGGGTGGCGGGGAGCGTAGTGGGCGGTGGCTGTGGCCGTGGCCCTGCATGAGTGCTCCCCCGCACCACAAAGGCCGGGGGCAGCGCGAGTAGCAGCGCCAGCAACCAACCCAGGGCGGTGAGAGAGCGCGCGGGCAGCGGCGGGCCCAGCGGCCGGCGCATGGTGCGCTGGCGCTCTAGGGCGATGAGTGCCACGAGGTGGGCAGAGGCGCCGCGGCCCGAAGCCCGCAGCAGCTGCACGAAGCGGCACGCCAGGTCGCCAGCGGCCGGGCGCGACTCGCCAAGCAGCTCCCAAGCCAGTTGCGAAAGCGTGTTACCCCCGCACGCGTACAGGTCTGCCAGGGCCAGATGTACCAACAGGAAGTCCATTTTGCGACGCTTGGGCCCTGGCCAGGGCCCGCTGCCGCACAGGCGGCACAACACCATGGTGTTGCCGGCCACAGCCACCACTAGGATGACCCCCAGGAAGACCAGGCGGACGCGGCGGCTGGGCAGCCTGAGATGAGGCGTCCCGGGGGCTGGAACTCCCAGTTCAGAAGTCAGGTTGAGACCCCAGCCCAGAGAGTTGGGTACGGAGAGGTTGGGCGCCAGCGGCAGAACTGAGGAGCCGAAGGGATCGTCCATCCTTAGCCTAGAGGAAAAGGTGGCACCGAAGAGAGCGGGCAGGGCGCACGAAACCAAGGTGGTGGCGAGGTAGCGCGGGGCGCGACTCTAGGTCTACAAGTTCCCAAAGTTAGTTGAAAACGCATAGGCACAGAAAGGGAGATTCCGGCAGATTTGCGCTTTGTTGTTTTTTTGGAGGTTGTCCTCGTCATTTGACACTCAAATGTGGGTTGTACACTCGAGGAGCACACATGATTCCTATTCTCCACCCTCCTCTGCGCTTCCCCCCACACACCTCCCATTTCCGCGGATCCTTTTCCAGCTGCTGCTGCGACCCCCTACGCTGCTGTAGCTGTAGCTGCGAACCTCTCGGTTCTGGGGGGCCTCTCGGTTTTTCTGTTTACATGTAGAGCGCAAACCGCGCAGAGGTCGCTTTGTCTGGCCTTTCTAAAGGTAATTGTTAACCCGAAACCCACAAAGCAGAGATGAATCTCCTGAGATTGTCCAAAATATGGTTTCGTAGTTGCCAGTAGAAAAAAAAATAAGAAATGCTCTTGTTTTCATTTTTTTTTAAGCGGTTTGGAATGCCATGGATCTGCAGTAGCATATGAAAAACAGGAATACAAGAAATACAATAACAGCGTTTAGAGCAAGAAGAAAAACCCAATGGATGAAATTTTGAGACAGATCTCTGTCTGGCCAGCAATGAGAGCCTTCTACTGGAAAGAACTAAAGTCAATGACGCCGCTTGGCAATTGGGAGTAGCAGTGCTTTGCGGATTGTTTCAAATACTCCTCATTACTAGAAGCAACAGATCACAGCTGCTCTCTCAGTGATGTAAAATTCATTTCATTAGTCTGAAGAGGGTATTAATAGGTTTTATGCAAATAGTACATTTATTTCTTTCCTCCTAATATTTCATCCAGTGAAAATGTGTCACCATGGCTTCTCACTCTCTTGGTTCCGTTTTCCGGCAGATGGGAGGTTGCTAGGAGGGACTACGCCTCCAATAAGTCTAGAGAAAAGGTGACTAAGAAAATGATAAGGCGGCCAATTTTTAAAAAAGAAATCCAAGGCACAGGAAATGGTTTAGATTAAATCTTGCCTGTTTTAGCCCTACCTCCTCTCAAACAAATTTTTAGTTTTCTTGTTGGAAGCATCCATTTGACTTTTATGCATGTGCTCCATTAATCACAGTGAAAGTAGAATTTCCTGTACTTTCTTGGTCTGGGGTCATGAAAGTGTGGGAGTCTCTTGGAGTTTAAATTCCCAGGCTGAGAAAACATTTGCAGCTTTAAGATGCATTGAATGGGGTTTGGTGGATATAGATGATAGTCCTGCCAGTTGCTGTAGCAGCCCCATATCCTGAGATGTTCTGTGACCAGATACTTTGTCATTTTCATCATCATACCTCCAGGGCCCAACTCAAAAAAACAACAACAAACCCACTGCCATGCAGTTGATTCAGACTCATAGCAACCCTATGGGACAGAGTAGAACTGACACGTGTGTGTGTGTGTTACGTGCCATCGAGTCGGACCTGACTCATAGCGACCCCTTCTTGGGTTTCCGAGGCAGTATCACTACGGAAGTAGATTACCCCATGAACTGACACATAGGGTTTAAGAAAACAAACCAAACACACTGCCCTCGAGTTGGATCCAACTCAGTGACACCCCTCCTTGGGTTTCTGAGGCGGTATCACTACGGAAGTAGATTGCCTAAACTTCCTTCCTAGGAGTGGCTGGTGGATTTGAACCGCCAGCCTTCTGGTTAGCAGTCAAGTGCCTTAGGCACCACCAGAGCTCCTCACATAGAATTTAGGTATCAATAAATATTTGTTGAGTTGATGAATTAGATATATGATACATTTCAGATACATTTATAAGTTTGAGCAAAAGTTTCTGCCTTGACCACAAATATCACCTTAAAAATCCTTTCATATCTATACCAATTCTGTCCATAGAAACATACGGAAAGGTAGGAATAATCATTCTTGGTGGGACATTCTAGGCAGAGTTTAATTTCCACATTCTCCAGTCAGAGAGTTTTGGCCAATGTTTTTTTCTGTGTCATGCACGTCATCCTAGTTTATGATCCACATTTTCCAGTGAGCTCTCTCTGAGTAATGTTTATAATTTAATGATTCTCTTAATATCAGTTGAGTATTTCTCAACATAATTCAATAATTTGTTGAATTATCTTCTATATTATGAAACAAATTTCTACCAGTGAAATTATGCTTCATAGAGATTAATTTAGGTAAAGCCTGGTGAAACAATGTTTAAAACTAATTCTTATCAAAATAATATATGCACAGTTTTTTCTACTTCCAAGCAAACTAGAAGATTTATAACTAAATAGGGTAGTCCCCTTTGTTGCAACTCCTCCATTCCATTTTCTAAAGGGACACAATTTAGATTCTAAGGATTTTCATATATATTTTTGAAAGGAATTGTTTTGTATTTTTCTTTCTTATACAATCTTTATCTTGTTTTTATGTGAGGGTAATTATAGCCTCATGATGTAAGCTGGAGTGTTTTCCCTCTTTCTATTTTCTGGACTGTTTTATAGAATTCACCAGTGAAGCCAAGCCATCTGGGCTTGAAGCTTCCTTTGTGGGAAGGCTTTTAATTATGAATTAAATGTCTTTAATTGATATGGGGGTATTCAGGTTATCTGTTTCCATTTGGATGAACTTTGGCAATTCATGTATTTCCAGTAAGTTTCCCGTCACATTTAAGTTATCAAATTTATTGGCTTAAAATTTTTTGAACTGTTCCTTTATTGCTCCTTATTTATCTCTTCAAAGAACTCTCTTTTGGTTTCACTGATTTTTGTTTACTTTGTTTTTATTTCATTGATTATGTCTTTATTATTTTCTTCTTTCTCACTGCTTTGAGTTTAATTTATTCTTTGCCTAGTTTCTTAGAAGTATGCTAATGTCACTGAGAATGTTCTGATTTATATATATGTGTGTGTGTGTGTGTGTGTTATGTGCCGTCGAGTCGGCCCCGACTCATAGCGACCCCTCCTTGGGTTTCCGAGGCAGTATCACTATGGAAGTAAGATTGCCCAACCTTCCTTCCGAGGAGTGGCTGGTGTGTTTGAACCGCCAGCCTTCTGGTTAGCAGTCAAGTGCTTTAGCCACTATGCTACCAGAGCTCC